TTATTTGTCAAAGAAAAGTCGAGTACGTTATAAAGAATTAATTACTCAATTGGGATATTCGGGAATCAGATTTAGCTATCAACGTCTTGGCTAAAAAAAGCAATCTTTCTCGATAAAGTCGATTGGTTAGGATAAAATTAAATTGTATCCTTTAGGAGCCGCCATTGTCAAAACTAAAGTCTATTACCCTAGTAGAAGATACCTTGTTTTCTGCTACTTACCTAACCCTTAGAAGCCATACATCAAGTTCCATGCAATCAAAAAAGACAATCTGTCATCAATGTCGTTACGTTAGAGTGAAGCACATAGAAAAACTTAAGTGAAGGTCTGCGTGTCTAGTCTCCGTCATTGTCTTTCCCATCTAAACCTTCTTGAAGAAAGGAATCCTATGTTAGGTCAAGCCTCTCAGTCTGTTATTATACCTTATCTTCATTGATGATTATAGTCGAAACTATATTTATTGTAGAAGAAATTTAAACCCTTTGAAGCTTGTAAAAGCTTTAAAGCACATGTTGGAAAAGAGGTTAGCAATTCAATAAAAGCTCTTCACTTGAATAATAAGAAAGAATATAACTCATAAGAATTTGCAAATTTTTGTAAACTTCATGGAATAAAAAAGCAACTTGCAACAGCCCACTCACTCCAATAAGAAGGAATTTATATGAAGAAAAATTGCACTATTACAAATATAGTATAAAATTTGTGGAGAAGCAACGATATTTCAAAGATTTTTTAGTCTGAAACAATCAATTAGAGTACTTATATTTCGAATAGAAGTCTCACATTTGCAGTTTAAAATATAACTCCAAAAGAAGCATGGAGTGGGCAACTACTGAGTTATATATTATTTTGAAGTTTTTGAGTATATAACATATACCAATATTCCTAATCAAAGGAGAAAAAAAGCTAAATGCCAAGGGAGAAAAATATGTTTTTCTTCATATTAGTAGAGTTCACAAATTGAATTTAAGATGGTTGTCGTGATTGCTTTGTATAAAAAGTACAATTTTCTTTTTATATTTTTATCATATTACTTTATTGTTTTAGTTGAATTAATTAACTTCATATTCTTTTTTTATACATCATGTTACACTCATTTTTAACCCGATTGTCAAACATATTTGACAATCGAAAATTACAAAACAAACAACAAAAAGAGAAAAAGCCTCATAATTTAGCATGTCCTACACTTACCTCTTTGACTAACAAAAGTAAACATTAAAAAGAAAATAACTCTATGGACCTAGTATATATATTGTCCTTGTATATAATAGGACAAAAAGAGAGCAATAACAAGAGATGATATTTTGTTCTTGTTTGACAGAAAGAGGCACTTCAATAAAAAAAGACGGAAATAACAACATGTAGTCTATAAATAGAGATAACATATATAAATTATAAAGCAATGAAGAAACAAAACCCTTTCTAAATTTTCTTCTTCTTACTCTCCTTTCTGCCTTCTCAGTTTTCTCTTTCATGTAGTCTTTTGATTGTCCTCTTCTATCTCAAAATATCTCAAGTCTCTTTGTTCATTTCCAGCAACCAGCAACCAGCAACATACAACATACAATTTACTTTGCATGAAGTGGAAATCAAAGCTTTAACTTTCTAGTGAAGGAAGATTTTTTCAAGATGGACCATAAACAATAATTAACTATTAAAAGAACCAAAAGACCAATGTCTGAAAAAGACAAAACGGAGATAGCTGGAAGGAGTTGGATTTCAACCATTTTTATTAAATAGATGTAGCCCAATTTGATTTAAAAAAAAAAAAAAAAAAAAAAAAAAAAAAAAAACCAATTTCATCAATATGTAAACTTTCCATCTATTGCTGCTCAGGAAAAAACAAAATTCTGGTTGTATTTTGCCAACAGCATGTCAAACAATAAGCTTTAAATTTTGATCTCATAATTCTTCTTGCACTAACCTAAGGCACTTGCGGATAACGAATGGGTTTACTTTTATTTCTTGTGCTGCTTTATCTCTTTGATTACTCCATCAGTAAGTGAATCAACATCATTATTTTTCCCAAAGAACTTGATGAATTCCATCTTAGGGCTCATCAAATACCTACACAAGATATAAAGCCACGACCAAATCAATGACAAGGTTTATTACCCAACAGTAGCATGACTGTCAAAAAGATAGAAACACATTTCACAATTCATGAATACAAATCATCTTATTTTCAACTGAAATGTCTTCATTATCTACTATTCTGCGTATTCTTTTGTGATGCACGTAGAAAAATGTAATCTATTCCTCTCAATAAGTGGCTGAATCAAATCAGGATCAATACATCCACCTTATATATCCATTTCAACAGACCCCAGCAGAGAAGGAATTTCTTTTATTTTCTTGAGAAAAAACCTCAAGACAGCTAGGATTTATCAATAACTACTTGAAAATTTATTATTTTTAATTTTTACTCCACAGAACAAGGTGCCAAAGAAAAGAAAAGAGAGACACCAAAAGAAAACTTGAATTACCCAAGAATGATAGACAAATCAACTAAGCCTACCCACTGAAACAACCAACTTCCTAAAGAGTACAACAGAGGAGCAGACACATAAATATTGATTAATTAAAGTATAATGTAAGGCTAAACATACATGACTATGGAGTGATCAACAAGATAATCCGAATCTTCCTCGGCTGTCTTCATATAATAAACTCGGTAAGCACGAGCAACTGACTTGATTTCGTCAGGGCTTCCGGTTAATCCGATTAGTTTTGGATGAAATTCTGGGGGTGGGGACAAAAAAATTACAAAGTATAATAGGAATGATTAGCATCAGTCGCATTAAAAGTATAAATAGTTACAAATACACGATTTAGATCAAGGGGAACATATCATGCAGTACCCTTTACATATTCGCTCACTTGCTCAACAGTATCTCTCTCAGGATCCACAGAGATGAACACAGGCACAATTTCAATTCCAGCCTTGTCCTCTGCAAATATTATAATAATTTTTTAGAGTAACAATAACATTATCGTATTAACAATTCTCAATGATCAAGAATGTGTATATGTCATGAAAGGAATATCATCAAAATAATTGGTCTAGTCCTTGTATTCAGTATCCACTCTGATTGTGATACATGTGGAAAAGATCAAATATCAATCAAACTTTGTCCCTACTTTTGTATGTCATGATTTGAGAAACTAACTTTGTTTCATGCCTCATTTTCTAATGTAAAATTCAGGAATAAATTCTGTTTGAAAAAAGACAGTTGTCTCAATCTTGGTAGCTCTAAATTCACTTTCCCTATCAAACAAAGACATTGATGACTCACTTATTTTATCAACTGCAGCAGTTAGCTTTTGTAACTCATCTGGACAAATATCAGGACAGTGAGTGAAGCCAAAATATATTATACTCCATTTTCCCAAAAAGTCTTTCTCTGCTACACGTTTTCCTTCATGGTTTATGAGATTGAATGGGCCGCCAATCGCTGCTCTTCCTGCAGATGGTCCCTCTTTAACTACCTTTGAAGCATTACTTATATCTGGTACAAAAGGATGTTATCACTACATGTGAAACAAAAAACGCAATATAACACTTAGGGAAAGGAGTGATAAACAGGCACTGTAAACTAAAAGCTTACACTACAATAGAGGTTAACCAACATTTGCAAGAGTTTTGGTTTAGTCCTATTAATCTCTAAAAAATAAACAAAAAATTAGTGCAAACCAAATGATGGAAGTGAAAACAAAAACTAGAGACTAACAAATGAACAAGAAGTATTCCTTCAGAGTCTCTCATTTCAGCTTTGAGGACTTTTAAAATGTGAAGTTATTTTCACTGAGGTGGTTGCATAACAGTGTGAGGTAGCAACTGAAGCATCTCAAGGAAGCCTACACTTGCCATTATACTTCTAATAATTTTTAGTTAAATGCATAAATACTAATTAAGGGCATTGACATAAGACTTAATGAGCTTCCCTGTACTAGCATCATACAGTAACATCCATAAAAAATGGCTACTTTTTCAGATATGAGGCTTCGATTAGAATAAGTGTGAAACTCTTTTTCATTTCTAGGAAAGTTGAAAATGTTTGTTTAGAAATGAAGTTTTATGGTTGAAACAAATATGGAGAACCATAGATAATACTTTATGAAAAAAAAAATTCAAATATCATATCTAAAGGTAATTAAAATAGTATAAAAGCCACAACTATATCATTTTTACAAAATTATTAAGTTCAATTCAAAATCCTGTTAAGGTTTATTAGATGTAGAAACTAAAATAGAAATGTTTTGTGAAAGTTATTTGTTTGCAGAATATTATAAAATTAAATCCTATTTAGCAGTAAAATTGAAATAGATCTAACTCACCATAGAAGTGTACCTTCAATATGGCGTTTCTTTTCTTTATCATAGTAGTAGATAAGTCCAGCTCCAGTGGCGACCAGCAACAGAAAACTCATCCACGAAACAGGCTGCAAATTACATTTCAATAAACTAAGATATTAATACGCAAAGGAGAAACATAAAAAAAATACTATTTGACAATAAATATATCATCAATAAAACCTTTGAGAAAAAAAAAACAAACTCACCCCTCCCCGGACAGGCTTCCCCGTGTCACTGCTACTTTGATGTGAACCCCCAGAGTGATCGCCTCCACCAGAACTTTTCGATTCTGCATTTTCAGTATTACCAGTAGAGCTACTGGTAGTAGTGCTAAATAAACATCGTCGATTAATAACCCAATGTTGGATCCCACCATCAACTGGTATAACCTAGAAATAAAATATTAGAAACAAATGTAATTGTTTTGGATGAAACGGAGTATTATACAGATAAGCAAGAAGTAGGGAAGAACACAAACTGATTGAATAGGAAGAATAGCTTGATGATGAAGGGTGCCAACTGTAGAAGATGCAGGAACCAAGGATCTGCAGTGGCTCAATGCGCGGAATTGGAGATATTGACGGATGTTTCGAAGATGATTTGAACTTCTAGATACAAGGGTAGCCATATATGCAATAACCTCACTAGAATTAAAATAAATACAATCTGCATATAGAACACAAATCTTGTTATATACGAAGTCACCAATGACCCAGGTCAGGGAAAGGTTAGAACACCAGATTACACTGATCAATATAAAAACAAAAGAGAAGGTGTTAGGCATGCATCAATCATTGGCAGCTAACTAACTAGGGCCTGCCTAATTGTTCCAATCATTAAAATCATAAAGGAGTAAAAGGAACTAATATTTACAACGGTTAGTTGTGGGGATTAAATACGTTAAAGGAAGAAAATAGAAGTAAATAGGGATATTCCAATCTATTAAAGAAATTAGAAATTCCTTTGTGTTTCAATCTTGCTTCAACTCCAAACACCCTCAAAACCTCATGAAAGTTCCCAAGTAGGTTCAAACAAGAGATAACGAAAGAGGAAAAGAGAATAAAACCACCAAAGCCAAATAAAGAGAATGAGAAACAAAAAACACGTAGATAACAAGCAATTACTATCTTCTTGAAGCAATTTTAGACGCGGAATATTTAGCCGGTGAACCATATTTGAGCAGTAAAGGAAAAACTATCAATACAACAGAGACTGAAGCATAAAAGATCCAAGCTTTACTCGATCATTTGTGTCATTTTGTCCAGAAATTCAATCAAACATAGGAACCCGTAAGCTCATATGCTAAGAGTAACAAGAAAAGGAAGAGGTGGATACCAAACTTGAGCTTTTTCCTTTTGCTTCAAGCTGGCCGAATCTGCAGTGGTGCGAGATAACACCCGGCGACCAGGTGGGGCAACGAGGGGGAACGAAGATAGAGGGATCAGGTTCCCGTTAGAATGGAAGGGAAGAAGTGGGTGTAGCGTAGAGGGAAATTGATGAACAGGAAGATTATTCACCGCTGGAGACCAAGAGAGGAAGAGAAATTGGAGCTGAAAGAATTTTGGTATGGTAGGGTTTGAGGGAAGAGGGCTAGAACAATTGATTTTAGGTTGGGCTTAGTTTGTAAAATGGGCAAAATTTGGACTTTGGGTTTGTACTTCAAATCGTTATTTCTCTCTCTCTCTCTTGTTTTTTAATTTTCTTTAATCTAAAATCTGTATGTATTTTTTTCTTTAGATTGGTAATAATAAATTAGTGAGATTAATAAAAGAATCAAATTTTTAATTTTAAAATCAAGATTGTAAAATACTGAAAATTGCAGGACATTTTTTTTAGATATTTGACTGAACAAAGGTAGAATATGAGAAGGCTTAACAATGAATCATTAAGAAGAGATTTTGACGAAGTTATGTAAGAGGGTCAGTTGAAAAAGTTAAAACGCTGGCGTTTCGAGGAAAATTAGAAATTTTGTGGGATGAAGAGTTAAATATTTATTTTTATCACAAACTTATCTATTCATTTTCTCTTCTAAATTAGGAGAAGGTGGCACAAACAGAAGTCAATATAAAATCTTTTTTTGATGGATTGATTAAATTGATAATTATTTTTCTCTATTTAATTCGAAATGTAAATATTACTTTTTTCAATATTAAATCAATGATTTATTAATGTTATCATAAATTTACACAATTTATCACATAGGGAAAAATTTACATGAGTTCAATAACAGTTCCTACTGCATCAATCTAATAATAATGCAATACAGTTTCAATTACACTCCAAATAATATATATGTATATGTATATATATATATATATATATATCCCATTCTCTCCTTGACCAAGAAAGCAGTCAAGAAATCAATTATTTCTGTACATACATTTTCACTTAACTCCCAATTACCAAATACATTTATAGAGAAGGGAGATAATATCTTTGACAAATGCAAGCGAGCCTTGGCTCAGCCCTGCACCAACTTAAATTGTAATATGAAATTTTTACTTCAACTAAACAAGTAGCATAACATATATATACTAAAAAAAAGGTTACGACTTGTTCATATATATACACCATAGATGAATAGCTGCTATACAAGTATTACAAGCAGAAAGCAAGATAACCTTTATCTCCTTGTCATTACCACTAACTCTTAAATTACACAAAATTTTCCATCTGCAATTGAGAGGTAGGACAAGAAAAAGAACGACCAGCATATTGTCTACTTCAGTCACTTGATCACCTCGGCGACCAGATGCATCACTGATTTTTGACAGACTGCAAGCTAAGCAATTTGCATGCACAATTGAAAAGCCAACTAACATTAGCCAAAAAGTTTGTAGGTTTGTCATGATAACTAACTTCAAGATCCTTTGAGAAGTCTTTCATCTGCTCAGCAAGTTCTTGCCTCTTCCGAACAGCTGCATCACAACCACCACATAAGACAAAAGGGACAGTCAGAACCAGAGAGTTACTGAATCTTACCTAAACTTGAAATATCTTCCATCTTCTTCGAAGTCCGACCGCAAATCTTTGGAATGCAGGACTGATTAACAAATTTCAAACAATGAGATTTCGGAACAATTTTCAGCCCTTGAAAAGCTGATACTTTTGATGTTCACCCGCATTAGCTCTTAATCAATAAAAGAACTAGTAACAACCAAATCACCAAGAACCCCATGAAAGACTTTATTTCCAAAGACGCATAATAGTAAGAAACTGATTCTTAATAAATCAAATCATAAAGTTACAGCTCCAGGATAACAAACACTGCAAATCAAAGAAGATAAGGACTGCAACTATGTTAAGAAAAATCCTAAAGATTTTTAATACTGATAAATCAAATGAAGACAAGGACTACTCAATTTAATACTGATAAATCAAATGAAGAAAGTCCTTAGGCCCTTATATGTTAACTGCAGAAGCATTTTCCAGGTGATTCATTGGCAAAAATTATTTGAAAAACTAAGGATCGCCATGTACAGCATGTTGAAGTTAGGAATGTAAAAAATAGAATGAACCACAAGATGGTTGTAACCCGCAAAAACCATAAGGAATAAAAAGAAAAGAAAACAAAAACCAACAACTCCCTGTTACTCTACCTGCGTGACTCACATAAACAGTCACTTGACTAAGGTCTATAAAAAATTATTATTGGTGAAAAATATTTTGACAAAATTGGCCAACCATATTAAACGAACATAATGGTCCAAACAATCAATATCCTGAATGAAAAGTAGATTTTTCTTTTGAACAGGAGATCAGAAAAGCAAATTGTCACTCATGTTTATTGATGTTGTTATCCCCAGGATCTTTACAAGCATAAAAAGAGCAATCGTCACCAAAAAAAAAATTTATTGAAAAAACCACAACATCTTTGATGAAAGGAGAGGAATGAACATTAATATATGAGATCACAAACAGAAATTAGAACTGGAAGGAAAAGGTAAAAAGCCTCAGCCCTTATGTGCTAATTGTTGCGGTCATTTCCATGATCACTACAAGCCTACAAAGAGTCATCATTGGCCAAAAAAGAGAAGAGGGAATAATAACACCATATAGGAATATTTATGTTTTTCTCCTAAAAAATCAACCTCACAAGCACTAAAAATGCACATAGAAAGAAAGAGAAACATAACAACTTTCTTCAGGAAAAAAGGATCGAAAAGATGAAAGAAAGCCTCA